CGAGAATATCATTAGAGATTCAACGGGAAAGTCGGGTGTTCAACCGGATTTCCATAGTCGAAGTGGAAATTATGATTTCCATAGTCGAAGGCTTTGGGTGATTTCAGTTGCTTCGAGTGTTCATTCGGATTTTCGGATATAACCGAACCGAACCCGGACCCGAACCACAACCAGCATAAGATCCCATCAGTTATTAAAGCAATACCGGGTCGGTTCGGTTCGGATTTTTTCGGGTCGATTCGGTTTGGATTTTCGGGTTTGGTTATATATGCCCACTCCTTTCCATGGCTTCGACCATATGCTCCCGATAAACTCCAAAATCGCTCAGTGCCGTGTGTACTCATTGGTTACTCCCTGACACAAAGTGCATATCAATGCCTTGAACCCCTCTCTGGACCTGTCTATGTCTCTGGACATGTTCGATTCAATGAAACCCAGTTCCCCTTTCACTCGCTTCTCCACAACCAAACACTTGCACCTGCAGAAACACCCACTTCTTCTCTCCCCCCGTATACAACGGTTCCTGCTACTGTGCTACTCCTCGGGTCGCGATCGTTTCCTTCATGCTCTGGACCCTCGAGCTCTGTCCCTTCACAGGTGCCACTCTCTACAACTGATGTTGCTGTACCAGATTCAATCGATGGAGAAGCTGCTCCATCTCGTGGGTTTCCAACAAATCCACCTTTGGGCCCAATAGACACTCATGCCCAAATTCAACAACAGAGTCAGCCCATTATCGCTCCAGCACCAAATCCAACAACTCGACCTCCGATAACTCACACCTACGGCCGCCGTCCCCGGAAATCGAAGCCACATCCGGTGACTCACCCGATGACTACACGGTCTAAAAATCTCATCGAAAAACCCTCAAAGAAGAAGGCCAATAATGCTTCCCTTCAACAGGATCCTCACTGGATTCCCACGACCTGGCAGCAAGCGATAAAAGATCCCCGATGGCGTGCTGCAATAGCTGCCGAATTTAACTCTACAGTTCGAAATTTCACCTGGAACCTCCAGGCTGTTATTGAGAAGATGAATGTTGTGGGTTGTCGCTGGGTCTTCACCATCAAATACAACCTGGATGGCACTATTGATTGCTACAAATCCAGGATTGTCGCCAAAGGCTTCCATCAGCAACCCGAAGTTAATTTCACAGAGACATTCAGTCCGGTAATAAAGTCAACTACCATTCGTATTGTTCTTGGTTTGGCTGTGAATTGTGATTGGCCAGTTCGCCAACTTGATGTTAATAATGCATTTCTGCAAGTGAACTTACAAGAGGAGGTCTTTATGTGTCAGCCGCCTGGTTTTGTTGATGCAGATAATCCTACACATGTCTGCCGGTTGAAGAAAGCCATTTACGGCCTTAAGCAAGCTCCGAGAGCCTGGTACTCTGAACTGAAGTCATTTCTGGAGACTGTAGGTTTTCGTAATTCTTTATCTGATGCCTCGCTATTCATTTTCAAACATCAGAAAGAGTTTGTCTACTTGTTAGTATATGTCGATGACATACTGGTCACGGATACTAATCATGATCTGGTTCAGCGAGTCATAACGAGCCTTGCAACAAAATTCTCCATCAAGGATATGGGTCACCTAAGCTACTTCCTTGGCACTGAAACTATCTGGACACCGCAGGGGTTACACTTGATGCAGCGCAAATATATTACTGATCTGCTGACTTGAACAAATATGTTGCAGGCTAAAACAGTGGCGACCCCTTTAGCTTCTTCACCCAAGCTAACACTTACTTCAGGGGAGCCTTTACCAGACCCGCTTGAATATAGGCGAATTGTTGGTAGCCTGCAGTACCTAGCTCTTACGAGACCAGATGTCTCCTATGCTGTCAACAGACTCTCACAGTTTATGCATAAACCCACAACAGAACACTGGCAGGCTGTCAAAAGAGTGCTGTGCTACCTCTCGGGCACTCTCAGTCATGGTATTTTTCTGCGCAAGCAACAATCTCCTGCACTTCATGCTTTTTCTGATGCCGACTGGGCAGGTGACACAGACGATTATGTCTCAACCAATGCCAACGTTATCTATCTTGGCAGCCAACCGATTTCCTGGTCTTCCAAGAAGCAACAAGGAGTTGCTCGATCCTCGACTGAAGCCGAATACAGAGCTGTCGCTAATACTGCTTCTGAGCTTCGATGGATTTGCTCGTTGCTCACTGAACTCGGTGTCAATTTGCCAAATGTACCAACAGTTTACTGTGACAACATTGGCGCAACATATCTGTGTGCCAACCCTGTCTTCCACTCACGCATGAAGCATATTGCTATCGACTATCACTTTGTTAGAGGTCAAATACAGAAGCGTCTTCTCCGTGTCACGCATGTCACTACGAAAGATCAACTCTCCGATGGACTCACAAAATCATTGGCTCGTGCACGCTTCCAAGAGCTCAGGTCCAAGATTGGAGTTCATAGAGTTCCTCCATCTTTAGGGGGTGTGTTAAGGAAAGATTATATCTTACGTATATATGCCTTCTATGTATATCGATTTACCCTACTTGTACCTCTGTATATATACTACTCTACATCAATAATAAAGATTCATTCAGCTCAATCTCTATAATTTATTGATTTCGGTAGGAAAATGTGATTTTCAGTTTTGGTAGCAAAACATAATTTCTCGGGTATGGCTGAAAAATCAAATTCTCAGGTTTTGCGGGAAAATGTGAATTCTTGGTTTTGTTGAGAAAAAGAAATTGATTTTGACGGGGAAAAAAATATCTTAGTTTTGACGGGAAAATGCGATGTTCGGTTTTGATGCGAAATGCAACTTTTAGATTTTGACAAAAATGTGATTTCTCAGTTTTGATAGGAAATGTAAATATTCGACTTTTAACCGATTTCTTGGTTTTTACGCAAAAATGTGATTTATTACTTTTCACGGAAAATTGCAATTTAATAATTTTGGAGGAAAATGCAATTTCTCGGTTTGATGGGAAAACAAAATTTCTAGGTTTTAGCGGGAATAAGCAATTTCTCGGTTTAGATGGGAAATGCAATTTTTCAGTTTTTGATGAATAATGTGATTTTTTGGCTTTCGCGGGAAAATACAATTTCTTAGTTTTCGCGGGAAAACACAATTTCTTGGGAGATAATGCAATTTTTAGTTTTTGCGGGAAATTGTAATTTATCTGTTTTGGTAGGAAAGCGTGATTCTTGGTTTGACGAGAAAATAAATTTTTTGTTTTTGGCGGAATAGACAATTTCTCAGTTTTTGCAGGAAAATAATTTTTTTGGTTTTGATGGAAAAATACGATTTTTTTTTTTTTTGGCAAGAAGATGAAATTTTTTTTGTTTTAGTGAAAAAACGTGATTTCTCGGTTTGGCGGAAAACACAAGTTTTTGCGGAAAAATAAATTTTAGGTTTTAAGTTTGACGAGAAAATAATTTTTTTTTTGGTTTTGACGGGAATATGCGATTTCTCAGTTTCATAGAAAAATAATTTTTTTTGGTTTTGACGAGAAATGCGATTTCTCGGTTTTTGTAAGAAGATGAAATTTTTCGATGCTAAATTTCCAAATTAAAGTATGTTACAATAACCAAAATTTAATTATTTAACTTTAACTAAAACGTTATTTCAAGAGTTCAAACAGAATTTTCTGTTTAGTTCTAAAGCAATAGCAATGATTTTGATATGAATGTTTTTTATTATAGTTTGGTAGTTTTAGAAATATATATTTATAATAAATATTTGATAATAAATAAAATTTTATAATTCTTGATAATCATATTAATTAATAAAACTTTTTTAAAAATGACACTTTGCTTTATATAATTACAAAGGAGTATCAAGTGGCAATTTATTGGAGAAAATAGATTATATTTACCATTAGCATAAAGGTACTAAAAATGTATTGTTTTATTCTTTCATATACATTTATAATTAGTTAGCTAAACAAATTTAATAGCAAATTATAATTTTGAAAAATAAAAAAATATACAATATTTATCAGATTTAAAACATATAAATACATAACTTTAGCTGATAAAAAATAAATACAATACTTATTTATATTATAAATATAATTTTATTATATTAAAAATATATACAAAATTTAGAAAAATATCTCGTAGTGTAGCGCAGGTAAATACCTAGTATCATCTAATAAATGAAAATAATATCCTACAAAAGATCCGGACTATGCTGGAAAATTGTTTCTCTTTCTCAAAAAGATAGTAGAGAGAGAACTCATAAATTAATAAAATTTTGAACCAAAAGTATTTCTTTTAATTAATAATTCTATAAATTAATAAAATTGTGAAGTTAACATTATTAATTTATAGAGATTTTATGGTATGTTCAAAATGTATGTAAGAATCAGAATTAACTAGCCAATCATGATTGATTAAAGTATAAAACAGCTAAGCATAGTATTCATTAGGCTTAGCTGCTTAGGGAAGTTCACATGCCTAAAGATTGACTTTTCCTTTTTGTCCGGACCGTCCCTGGCTTGGCCCCTATTTTTCAGTGGCTGATTTCAATTTTATTTTTAACTAATGTTTTATGGGTTGTTACTACAAATCCAACAAAATTTATATAAAGCCCAATTCATTAAGAAAGAATCCACAAATAATTAACAAATTAACCTAATTATGACCCATATTTTGTAACTGGTCTCGAGCCCACAAAATCTCAAGATCGGCCCTTTTTATAAAATATTTTCTTTATCAAAAAAATCAAAACAAATTTTGTATATACAAAATAAAGCAAGTGTTTACGCAAATAATTGACAAATGTTTAAAACTACTTTAAAAAGATGCAAACATACGATGCAGGCTTACACTTCAACACTCGCTCATGTAAACAAGAATCATTAAAACAGTATTGCTTGATGCAAAAAACATTGTCCAACTCATAGAATAAACCAGTGGTATTTGCCTATCCTTGCACCCAACCGGTCATTCCAGATTGTATATATCCAATGAAATCTTAAAAACTTTGTTTTAAGTTACTGTGATAATCTTTTACTCGCATATATGCCCTTGTCTAATGTTGTATACTTTGCCATGAGAATTGATAATTTTTGATGATAGATAACTGAAGAGTAAAAGATGATCAAAACAAAACTCAAGTCTATAGTGATCAAAGCAATAACATTTGTGAAGAAGTTGGAAGTAACACGAGAATGTAGAGGTGCGCCTTGCGCCATGGCACTAAAAAGTCGCGCTTTTTAAAACCCAGTTTGCTTCAAGTCTTTTTCTTCTTTCTGAATCTCATGATCTCTGCGTTGTGTCTGTATCTAATGATAAGACGCGATCAGAAGCATTTAAATAGATTATAAGAGAAGATACTTTTTAAGATATGCAGAGAAACAAAACAGTTTACCTTAACATATTGTTTTGCTATCGGTGTAGGGTCTGGCAAATTTTTGATGAGCGCTTCAGCTGCAGACCAGTTCTCCAGGATAAACACAAGCAACTTGTTGATTTCTGGTGCACCATGTTGCTGGAGAACATCCAGATAAAATGCAGATTTGCCACATGCTTTACTCGCAAAATCGATAATTGCTTCTCTGGAGAGACACTCCTCGGATGGTTTACGCTCATTTTTTTTACATGTATCTGACAGAGGAGTCTAACACAAGTCCACACTGTTCTAATACATATCTTGAACGCCAAGGAAGCCTGAAAAGTACACACCATCAATATGAAAATAGACTAGGCGGCAAAAACCTTGTAGAGCAAGAAACAGAATCTAAAGGTTAAAAAGAGGCGTGTGCTAGTACCTTTCCAAGGTTCTTCATACTGTAGAAAGCTACACCGATATCGTGAAATGAAGCTAATAGATATTTAAGGTCTGGAGGTGAAATCCACGGACTAGCAATTACATCTTCAACTAGACGGCCGGTGATCTGAAAACATAAAATCAAATAAAAATAAAAAAAAACTTTGAGACATTCTTGCAAAAAGAAGAGTTTGAACAAAGCTTCCACTTGATTTGTGAGAATGGTAAGCAAGTATTTAACCTCTACTCTATATTGGGTTCTCATCGAAATGAAAGAAGCAGCCATAGCCACGTTTAGCAGAGTCTTGTTAAAGTCAGTCCCACTACATTCCTTGTGATGGGTCCATCTCGCAAAAATGGAAACGAAAGGTAAGCAAAACATTCAACTCAAAGAATACACGATTCATATATATGTATGTATGTACCTCTGAAATTCACGTAAACCATGACAAAATTGGAGAAATATATCCTGTATAACAGATAGATGAGCAGTATAACATGTTAATACTCTTCCCGGCACCATCTTTTTCTTCTCGGAATTTATCAAACTAGCAAGAGGCTGGCACAAAAATTTCAGAGCATCAAGGTAAGGTGGCGTGTATTCCACGGCGTCTTTGTGGTAATGCTGAATCAAACCCCATAAAGAAACTGAGCTATTCCATATCTCATCGTCACCAAGTAAAGCTTCAAGCCTCAACTTTTTTCTAACAATTTTTCTCAGCTTAACATCAAACACATGTACGGGGAGTCCAGCTGAATAAAGTCTTAGAATCAGATTAGCTTGTGGTATAGCCTGCCAAGTACTCAGAGCTATCAATCAAAATCCTATTTTCATTAACCAATATGAGAGAGAGAGAGAGAGAGAGAGAGAGAGAGAGAGAGAGAGAGAAAGAGGAGACAAAAAGATCGATACCTTATAGTTATAGTAATTAGATGCAATCTCACTCAACTGTTTCGAAACTCCTGCACACCATACGTCTCCTGCTAACAGAGACTCATGAACACAATAGGAGACTAAGTCAAGAAACTCCAACCAATTTGCTCCAGGTTCAACCTGAAATTGCGGGTATGAGGAGCAGTAAGGGACAAGAAACAAAAAGAGACATACTGTCCTAACAGTGACAAGAGACTTTTGCATATACCTTGATTTCACATGCCACAGTTCGCAACACAGACATCACAGTTTCAACGGGTTGTGATGTTTCTGTCTCCTTGGACATAAACAGTAAAGAAAGCACCTGGCGAGAAAACTGGATACACAAAAAAAAAAAAAACAGAACAATCAATGCTCTCAACGCAAGAGACAGACAGAGACAGAGAAAGATTGTGAAATCTGGACAAGTCACCTTATAAAAATGACATTTTGGCAACGGGGATTTATAATATTCCTTCAGTGTTGAGTTGCAGAAAGATTTGCACAAAACCCTTGTCGAAACGTTCTGCTTCTCTGATAATGGAGAGAGCACACTTTCCCATATCTGACGAGAGCCCGGGTGCTCTAAGCCCCTCCAGGAATCTCATGCCGTCGTTGGAAGCGTGAGTGAACCAACCCCAGTGTTGGTAACAGCGAATCAGCGCGAGCCTTTGAAGCTGGACGGCGTGAGGATCGTGGGAGACCAACTCGCAGCATTCCAAACAGAACTCGTAAGCGCGGAACAGATCATCGGGGGGTGCAGGGACTGTGACTGAGAGGCGTTTATGCAGGGAAGAGATGGATTTGGAGATGAAGGGGAGGAATTGGTTCGCGATGGATCGGGTGGTTAGGGCTCGGTCCTCTTCCCGACATATCAAAAGACCGACGAACGGTTGGAGGTATGTTAAGACGGAGGAGAGAACTTCTCCGGGGTCGGAGGACTCGATTTGAGATAGAATGTGAGCCTCAGTGTCCGACGCCATTTTTGTGAAAAATATATTTTGAGAGGATTTTCTCTCTTTTATTGATCCCACGACTTTGGTAGTTTACAGTTTCGCTGGATTTTTGGGAAGAAAAATCAGGGCAGAATTTTTTTTGTTCCATTTTAAGTCTCCCTTGCCTAATTTTAAAATAGCAGAGAATCTATATATATTTCCTTAATCTAAAGAGAAACTAAATCGTATTTGTTAGTTTTTTCTTTATCTTTTTACTTTATTTCTGTGTTTTTTTTTTTGTTTTTTTTATTCAGTTAGTAATAATTATCTGGTAATCCCATCATTTTATACAATTGGATTCCACAACATTAGTTTCTAAAAAGTCTTTATAAATTAGTAAATAAATAAATTAGGAAGGTCTTCCTCAATTTGTAAGAAAACTTCCTAAATTATTACAAATAGTTGAATTAGTATACTGTTTAACTTAGAATAACCAAACTGATGATAAATATATATTGAAAGTCTTCCTAAATCATATTAAAAGATTTCTTAAACGTTTGGATAGCTTTATAAAGATTAACTTGAACTCAAACCTTGTTTTACTTGATTAATACAAACTTTAACCATTTTTGTAGCTCAATCTTTTGTTATTTTTATGTATTGTAGACAATAATCATAAATAGGAAAAAAAAAAAAACAAGCTAAGACAAGAAAACCTCTGAAATCAAAATTTTAGGAAGGATCTTTAGATTAGGAGTGGGTTCCCATCCCATCTCATCCCAGTCTCAATCCCAAATTTCCGTATCATATGAGAATGTGCTTCCCATATGGTACAACATATTGATTCCCATTTGGAAATGGGACGGGACGGGAATGGGAATTCCCGAAGTACCATTTGTCCCGAATTATATATAAATAATAAATTAAATATTTAAAATATATTACCAAAACTGATAATTATTATTTATTAATATATTATTTTATATAAACGAAAGTTAAAACTTAAAAGTTGCACCCTAAAGTTCTAACTTATAAATTATAACCTAACAAACAAACAAGTATCAACTTTCACTTTGAAGCTTTTAAATTTTAATAATTAAGTTAAATTTGATTTTATTTGTTTCTTGGTTAATTTATAATCTTATATGACATGTTATTATTACTTATTAGGATTTAGGAGGTGAATAATAGACGAATATAAATTGAGTTTTAATTTTTTTTTCTACAATTGTCAATTTGTCGTGTTTTTTTAGGTTTTTTGGGAATTTCCGTCTCATTCCCGTCCTATCCCGTCCCATTCCATTCCCGTCCCGTCCCAAATTTTGAATGGAACACATATGGGACAATTATTTTGATTCCCATATTTCCGTCCCGTTCCCATTCCCGCAGAATCCCGTCTCATATTCCCGTTTGCCCATCCCTACTTTAGATATTTAGGAAGACATTCATAAACATTAATAATTAAAACTATATTAATTTCTACTTTTTATTAAAGTCTTCCTTAATGTGTAAGACAACTTCCGAAATTTGAGTAGTTATATAAAAATATAAAAAAATTCCCACTTATTGAGTAAAAAAATTATGTGGAGGGTCTACACATATTATATGGTTACATATCTGTTAGAGATGAGATTCGTACCGTCTCTAACAAGTCCGATATGAATTCTAGTCGGCCTATCAAACAAATCCCAGGTCGGCAACATAAAAGGAAAGCTTCCATTTATCAAGCGACCCGGAGAAAAAGGAAACTTCTTGCCGACAAGAGTTTCCTATTCCGAACAGGATGAAGACCGACCTGATCGGGTATAAATATAGGAAGTCCTCGACTTCTCAATCCATCCAAAATCATTGATCAAGACCTAGAGCAAACTAAGCAATCGAGTTGTTCCTAAACTAGACCAAGAGATGATCAATCTTGTGGAAGAGACAATTCAGGAAGGTCTTGCTAAAGTTTGGGAAGCATTCCTAAATACTTCTCAATCTAAGTTATTGTATAAATGGATACAAAACACACATTTTAAGACAAATTTTTGATCATTTAAAAACTTACTAAATATTCAGGTAAACATTGAATAATTTTTTAATTTTTTACAATATGACATATCTGAACAAATTTGAGTTATTGTATAAATCTATTACTAATAAAAGTTGATGCTAAATGCATTTAAGGGTGTCCACATAGGATTTAAAAGATATAATTCTATTGGTACACATCATCATTTATAGTTAATTATATATATATATATTAAAATTAATTAATTTCATTTTTATTATTATTAGTAAACTTTCTAAATTTTAATTATTTTTATTTTTGTTATCATTGGGAAAATTTCTAAATTTCTAGATAATTATTAATAAAAATGAGTTTAAAATATATAGAAACTAGATCTTATTTTTTTATTAAGAATAAATAGAAAATTGACATATTATTATATTATAAAAATTATATAAATTATAAACATATTTATTTCATTGGTCCACATCATTTTCTGTAATAAATTATATTTTCAAGTTAATTAATTTCTTTTTTGACTTACTTCTATAATATATAAAAGTTGAAGGCATAGTGCATTAAAAACGTCCACATATGATTAAAAATCTTAATATGATTGGTCCACATCAGCATTTTTCATTAAACAAAAAATGTTAAATATGATTAGTAATTTGAATAAATTAAAATATACAAAAAAGAAAAATATCATGGTAGAATGGAAAATAAAGATAAAAAAGTTTAACTAACAAAACAGATAAAATAAATTATGTCAGAAATCCAAATTTATAGCTTTTGTCAAAATAAAATGGAAACAAAATGTCACAAAATCTAAACCAATAAAAAAACAAATATGTAAATCTATAACGAAAAAGTAAATTTTATAAAAGAAATTTAAATATACTTTAAATAAAAAAATTGTTTAAATTTAGCCTTAAACTAACAATTAAAGAAATCAATATAAAAAAAACTAAAGCTGTAAAAGAACTATTTCAGAAAGTAATATAAAAATAAACAAAAACAAATAAAATGTAAATTATGTTTTAAAAATGTTAATACAATTAAAATTGAAATTAATATAAAAACAATATTTTAAAAATCATTGAAAAACAAATTGAGTTGATATATATGCTAACTATTTAAAAAAAATTAATATAAAAGAGTCTCATTAACAGAAAAAGAGAAAATTAACTGTAAAAATGTTAATATTTACTAAACAATTATGTTTCAAAATTAAATAAGAATCAATATAAAAAAGTAAACCAACAAAGAAAAAAAAAGTCATATAAAAAAACTAACTTGATATTTAGGCTAACAATTTTTTAAAATTAACATAAAAAAATCAATAACAGAAAGTTAAATTAACAAAATAATTTTTTCTTAACATATATACTTTAAATGACTATTAAAGAAATAAATATAAAAAATAAAGCTTTAAACAAACTATTTAAGAAATTAATATAAAATTAAACAAAAACAAATAAATTATAAATGATGTTTTACAAAATGTTAATAAATTTAAAATTGCTAATAATGACAAAAACAAATATTAAAACAATCATCTAAAAAATTGACTTGATATATATGGTAACTATTTAAAATTTTCAATATAAAAGAACTTCATTAACAGAAAGAAAAAAAAATTTCTGTAAAATATCAACATTTACAGAAAAATTATGTTTCAAAATTAAATAAGAATCAATATAAAAAAAGTAAACTAACAACAGAAAAATTTATAAAAAAGCTAACCTAATATTTTGACTAACATTTTTTAAAAACTAACATTATAAACTTTAAAAACAAAAACAAAAACAAATGATGCAGTAATATTTTGAGATAAATCGATATTAGATTTAAAATGAACAGTTATAGTATGTCAAATCAACATTATAACTAAAATAAAAACTAATATTAAAAAAGAAAATATAAAAACTAAAAAGCATTCAAGTAAAATAAATTAACTTGATATCTATGCTAGCTATTTTGAGAATCAACAACTAAAAAGTTTAATCATAAAAAAAAAATCCTAAGTATAACAAACATACAAAAAAAAATTATATAGATTAAAATAAAATATAAATTTACTATCAAAAGATGTAAAGTAAAAGATTTTTAAAGTATTGATATCTACAATTAATAACTATATAAAGTTGCAATAAATTTACATAATTTTTTAAATCAAACATATTCTTTAAATATACAAAAGTTAATATAGTAGGTACTTCTGACTTAAAAACTAACAAAAAATACTACATAAGTAATTTTACACTCGAAATATAACAAACAATAAAGTCTGATATATATATATATATATATATATCTACTACTTATATATGAGGCAACATTAATAACATATGAGTAACACCTTCTAAAATTATATTTAAATAATAAAATATGATAGAGTTAAGAATCAAACTCAAATTGATATATCTAGATAAAATATTCAAATTAAAATATGCAGAAAGCACAGAAGATAAAAACAGTAAAACAAATATAAAGACTGCACACCATCCATCCTACAAGTTTAAAAACTAGAATTATCATATAAACTTTTTTAAAAAAAGAACCGTAGAAATCCTAAGGATACAAAACAAAACACCAAAAATTTAGTAAGGAAATCATTTTCAAAATCAAACATATGCACATCGAAGTTGGATAATTCGTTAGGTGTCATTACTATGATTTTACTTAATAAGATTTATAATTTTACATACAAAAATAGGAAATACTACATATTATGTTTTAATTTTTATATATAAAAGAAAATTTCTACAAATATATTATAGTTTTGATAATTTAAAAGATATTAGCCAAAAAATTATTAAG